AAAAGGTAAAGGCTGGCCTAATGCTGACTATTGCTTCTCAATCTGATGGGAGCCATTGTTTTGATAACACTGCCATTCTCAACAGAGCAGGCTTGAGATAAATAGCAATGAGCATGTGGAAAATTGGGTTGAGACGTGTTTCTTTCCAGTGTTGGCCCCAAGGCACCTAAGGAGCAATCCCAATGCTGGCATTTGAGATACAATGCTGTCTCTTTGAGAACCTGTCAAATGATTCTTTAAATCTGTCTTTCCCAGTTCTTTCCTAGAAACAATCACTTCCACTTGTGACATTTTTTTACCTTTAATATAGTATTTAATTCTTCACTTGTTTTAATTAATGTTATCTTCAGGAGTATTAGTTTGTAAGTTCATGTACATAGAATGTATTTGTGTATGTCTTTGAGAAGCATACTAGCTTATACACAGTTTTATGTGCTAAATAACTTTGAATTAATGAATAACTTATTGGTCAACTAGCATTTGTTTTTCCCGTAACCTCCAGAGATAATATTTTAAAAAATAATATTATAGTAAGTAAATAGATAATATTTATTTGTGAACTTGGAGAGATAACTCAGTGGTTAAGATAAGTTGATGCTCTTGCAAAGGACCCAGGCTTGGTTCACAACTCCCACATTGAACAGAAGACAGCTACCTTTAACACCGGTTCCAGATGTCCTCCATGGGTGCCTGTACCCACATGGTGTACATACATTCAGGAATATACACGTGAAGTCAAAATTCATTTTAAAAATCTTTAATAGTTTTTGAATTGGGATATTGCTGTGTTATTCAGGTAGACTTTAAAAGCCTCGAGTACAGCAATTCAGATCTTCTTTCCCTAACCTGCTGAGTGCTGGACTCCAGGAACCTGGTGTTCTGTCCTGGAATAATACAGTCTGGCTTTGGGTTGATACTGTTCACCAGCCTTCCCACTAGATTCTCTGTGATGTTCTGCGAAATTTGCCTATGGTATTATGACTAAAACCTTAAAGGAAAATTGTAATTTAATGTAATTTAAGATTTAAAAACTTGACCAAAATTTCTCTTAAACTTAAAAATTGACTCATAGTTTTCTAAGAAATTTTGTTGTATTCTTGCATTTTCCCACTCGCCCACCCAGAACTAGCTCTTGTAGACCAGAGCTGGCCTCGAACTCAGAGATCCATCTACCTCTGCCCCCCACATACTGAGATTAAAGGCATGCACCACTGCTGCCCGGCTCATTTTCTCACTTTTTAATTGCAAAAGCATTGTGTGGCTGTTATAAAATAGCAATGAATCAGAAGTTAATAAATTCTCACTTCAGGTTTTGTTCCCCGAATTCTGGGTTCTGCAGAGAACTACATTTCTGCAGTATCATATGCGTTCTGTTAAATAGCTCTTTTAAATTTGAGAATATAAACTATTATGCTGTATATTTACCATTATTATGTTATCTATCCATTTAAAATGTATCAATGTAGTTAATTTTTTCAAGAATTACATTACATTCCATGTTGTTTCTTTATCAGTCTAGCTTTCATTAGTTGCTCCTCCAGTGTCCATGTTTAGTACAGCACTATATGGCGAAAGCACAGCTCTACTCTCAATCCGGTATGACCAGAAAATATTGGCCTTGGCAGGGTGAAAAGACAGCTGGTGTGGGCTCAGCTAATTATGTTCCACTGCACTGTCTGGGCCTTCCCTGGGACGGGTGCTGAGGCCTTTTGAGTTTTGTTAAAGCCTCCTTTGTCTTGAATTTCTTCAGAAACACCTTCAGGATTATTTCAGTGTTGTGGCCTTGTATTGGTAGGGTCTCAGCAGGAGCAGTGGCCAAGGGTGAACCTGTTGGGGATGCAGGAACTACACACTCACCACAACATTTTCATTAAGCAGGGTTTTAGAAGCCACATCAGTATCAGCTCAAGTGCAAGGGCTTGCCCTCAGATGTACAGCACGTTTGCTTTCATGCTTGGTTGTTTGAATAATGGTGTAAACTAACTCTTCATTGCATTTATGTGAAGGATGCTCTATCCAGCTTCTCTGTATTCAGAATCCAATACTCTCACTTTACTTGACTTTGATGATCTTAAAACACAATCCTGGTTTTGTTAATCCATTTGAGATAGGTGTCATGTAGCCTAAACTGGCCAAAGACTTACTGTGTGCCTGAGGATCCTTGAACTTCTGATCCTCTCGAGGGTTGGGATTGCTTGTGAGCACCCACACACAGCTTATTGGCCCCCTTTTCTTTCCTGTCTTCATTTCTTTCTCCCTCTCCCTTTATTTGTCTTTAAATAAGTGATGCCTTCTAATATTTGTGGAGTCCATCCTTAGATAATAAATTTTAGAGGCAACATCCTACAACCAGATCCTTTGCTCTCAAGAAGCTATCAAGAATTGCAGAGTTTGTAACTAAGCTTCATTGTGTGACCTTAGGAGGTGGCCGTGGCTCTCAATGTTAGAGCCAGCATCATAGGCACCAGCTCTGAATCCTAGGATTGTGTCTTTCCTGCCTTTACGTGGAGCAATTCCACATAGTGCTCACTTTCTAATGAAGAAAACACTTGATGAAAATAATACAAAGCTACTGTTTAATCCTATTTGGAGATTGAAGGGTAACTATGGCTTTACAAAATGTAAGAATCTCAATTAACATGAAAATTTTCTTTCTTATAGATATCTGACCTTTCCTTGTTTGAGATAGAGTCTCACTGAGTAACTTGGGTTTTCCTTAAACTTTAAATCCATCTGTCTCAAGTTTTTAAATTCACTACCAGACTCATGAGAATGGGACTTGGATGACCACTTTTAAATTAAATCTTAAGTGATGGAGAGATAGTCAAGTCTTGAAGACCTGAGTTCAGTTCTCAACTCCCATGTAAAGATACCATGTGTGGTGGTACAGCTGGTTATCACAGTGTGGGGCAGCAGCATACAGGGATGCTTGATGCTTGCTAGCCAAGCATCCTAACCTACTCATTGAGTTCCAGACAGCGAGAAACCCTGTTCCAAAACAAGCTGGCTCCTGAGGGCAACCCTTGAGGTTGACCGCTGGCCTCTTCACATATACATACTTGCACGTGTAACCACACTTCCCTGAAAACACATAAATGCACACATGAGCACACAACGATACACAAAATGTAGAATATATTCAATGTGTTTCCTATTCTGTTATTTTTTTGTAAAAGCCTTTACTTCAGAATATAAAAAAAACTATCCTAAAAGAATATATATTGTTTGTCTGTTGATCTATTATTTCAAAGCTACTTTCAAAGTTACCATTTCCTATATTTAATGTTCTATATTTAATGTTCCAGTTTTTGAAATACCTAATCAGATCTGTGGTTGTATGCTATTCCTTTTGTGGAGGCAGACCGATAATGTAAAAATTTTAAGGTTACTTTGTTTCTAATCTATCAGAGTCAAATGTAATTGCTCTCCTCTTGTTTGATTTTAACGACAGTGCTGTGTTTTACCAATGTATGTCCTGTGTCAGCTGTCATCAGTGCTTAGGTACATTAACTGTTGGTGTTACCCTTGCACTGTTACCCTTGCAGTGTCTTCATAGACATACTTCTGTGCACAGCTGTGTACTCTAACTGTATTTGAAAGCTGTGAGAGGGAGAGGACCAACAGATGAATAGAGTCATTTGGATGCTATCAACTCATGGTTCTTGATTACTACTTTAACTGAAAATAATGCAGAGGATGTGTCTTTTTAAATTATTTTTAAATGTCATGTATGTGTACTATATTTACATAATTGTCTGTCTCTTTAACACCTCTTGTTTTCCCCCACTCCCTCTCAAAATTCATGATCTTTTTTCTTTATTTTTGTTACACATACATATAATATATAATAGCTATATTATATACATTATATATATAACTACACATGCTATATAATAACACAAAGATATAATAACTGCTGAATTCATTTAGTGTTTCTCATATGTATATGTGTGTAGGGCTGACCACTTGCTACAGGATAACCGGTTAAATGGTTCTTCCCTGTGGAAGACTGATTCTCCCTCTCTCAGCAGCCCTTCATTTCTTGCAGCTATTCTTCTGGTGGTGGGACCCTTTCCCCCGTTCCTGTTGGCCGGCCTATCTGAATCAGTAAGTTCCAGGTCCAGTGACTCTGTGAAAAAAAAAAAAAGATGAAGGTGATCAAGGAAGACATCCAGACCAACCTTTAGAGGCCACATATACATATGTCCACCTGAACCTGGATGGTCATTCCCATACAGGAACACAGTCAATAATAAGTGTAGCCCATGTTACCAACTGTGTTCATTTAGCAAAGATGAGAGAGTAACTGTAAACTAACCACCATCTAAAAAAATATATTCTGTGCTTCATTGTGGTATGACTTTATCAGTTGGCAGTGGAAAGATAAGATAATATTGACATCAATTAGGATAGATACATAAGATGTCTTGACTCAACATTTTCACATTGTAAGTCAGTAAAACTTAAGAATTAAGTTTCTTGTCTTTTTATAAGCCTGTGACTCACTCATTGAATATTTTAATATACGCAGGCTCTTACAAGAGTAGGTATTTTATGATAGATTCATTTGAATTAGAGGCAGTACATTTAGCTGATGAGTGAGTTAAATATGCAGGCATTTTACTTTGCATGATACATGTGTAGTGGCATTTAAACCATAAGTTCAAATAATTATGTTTTTAAAATACTGACAAAGTAGTACATTGTTTTTCATTCCCCTAATAAAAATTGCTACCAAATTAATTAGTAGCATAACAGATGATTATAAAAATAAAATAGGCAAAGCTGTTGAAAGCTCATGGCTTCTCAGAGAAAGGTTAATTTTTAAAACTGCTCATTTTTTTGAAATGTGTTTTTCTTAATTTAATATTTTAATTTCTTTAAAATGACATGTGAGCTGTAATTACCATCTTAGGAAAAATTAAAAATTAAGGTTAACAAGTTGATTTGCCTTAGAATTGCATTAGTTACTAATGAAATCATTTGAAAACATGTTTCAGTGCCGTTGACGCGTTTAGGAAGAAGGAGAATGACGCAGCTGTGACGATCCAGAGCTGGTTTCGTGGATGCCAAGTCCGGGCGTACATCAGGTGCATAGACTTTATCATCAGAACCTCATTTACAAACCATAGTGCCTGCCTTAGACACTCACAGGTTGTTTAGGTAGCATTTATTCGTGATAACCTCTTACATTACTCAGTAATGAAGTCATTAAATTTATGTTGGCCCTGTAAAAAATGATACAGAAAGCTTCTAATTATTTCTTGCTGATATATGAATTACATCTGCTGTACATACAAGTTTAACAATTCTCAATATTGTAAGCACATTTGATCAGATATCCCCCTCGAAAAAAATCCTTATGAAATACTTTTATAATACCAAATCAACTGATGGAGCAGGAAAGGGACTGGAGAAGAGGAATCTTGGTTTTTCTCAACACATTGGTTGATGAAATCAATGATGTTGAAATGATAATATTCTAATCATAAAATGATGGATCTACCCATATCTTAATTCTTTCCATGCTTTTCTTCAGTGTTTCAAGAATGTTTTTAATATTCTCTTTGATTCTGAGGAAGGGTAGGCAGTACAGCCTATCCAGCAGTATGGTTCTTGCCTGGTGTTCACAAGGTCCTAAGTTCAGTTCTTAGTGACATATCTCACATTTGAACAGATACTTTCCTAGGTGAGTTAGGGAAAGAATATTCCTGGTCTATTGTAACCCCGAAAACGGACTGAGGAGTACACTTCACAACACTTCCTTATTTTACCCAGAGCTGTAAATTCCAATATCTAAAGTGAGGCCTCTGCTTTCACCTCAGTGAAGTCGAGAAACATGGCCGTGAAGAGCACTCTTTGAATTTACCTGACTCATGTGCTGCCTCAGGAACACTGAAGAATGTGAGAAAACACAAGGCACATGTTTGTTGACATAAGAATTATTTTCTAAGTTCTTAACATGATTTTCATCAGTAATTCCTCAGTCATTTCTCAACCTATAAACTGATCTGTGTGTAGTACACAATTTTAAAGTATTTTATCTGTGCCTGGTAGCACAGGTCTGTACCTAAGTATTTGGGAGGCTAAGCCAGGGGGACTGTAAGTTCAAGGATCTCCTGGGTTACAGGGTGAGTTCAAGAGAAGCCTGAGTATCTTAAAGTACACCTGATTCATTGTTGGGGCTATATAGGTCTGTGGTAGAACATTTCCTTGATATCTGTCAATACATAAATATTCTGGGGGTTATGAAAATAAAATAGTAAGGAAGGAAAATAATTGAAGCTAAAATACCACTCAGTTGTAAGCCCAGGAAGAAGAGGGAAAGTTATCTAGTGCTATTTTCTGTATGTGATTAGCAATCTCCCAGAGGAAGTTCTCATTCTTTAAAAACATCAGAGTTTACTAATTGTAGAGCTTCAGTCACAGGAGGCCAGGGAGAGCAACCTCATGCAGCAGAAAAATGATGAGTCCATGGTGAGAACAGATGTACTACCCCCTTCCCAGATGTGGAATTGTTAGATGTAATAGCGTGCTCCCAGATGTGGAACTTTAGTTGTGACTGACAGCTGGGGAGCGTACATTGTTGCAGTGAAGGCAGTTTGGAGGGCATAGGGCATAGCATGCTCACAAGACCCAAGAGCTCCTTCTAAATCAACTATTTGTACCCAACTTAGCCATAGAAGGACAGAACTCACTCAGGGAGAGTCCCAGCCCTGCCATGATAGGGTTGACCATTAGGAAATCCAAGCAATCATTCTCCTTGTGTGAAATACCAGATTCTTTCTGCCAACTTTGCAGACAAAAGCCATTTCTGGTTGAGAACTCAACTTACGGTGAAAAACAAAGTATTTATGGTTAAGGAAAAAGTTTACATGGAGTCAGGCATGGTGGACATGTGTCACTATAATCCGTGTGGCAGCCAGGGAGGACCTCCACATGTCCAAGGCAAGCCAGGTCTACATGAGTTGCAGACCAGGCATCAAGACTTTATGTCAGAGAGAAAAATAAACAAGATAAAATAGAAATAATAAAACAGAAATAAAATAAAGATACACAGAACCTTACATTTGAATTTGACATTGTAAATTATAGAACATTTTAAAGAATGAAGAGACTTCTTGGTTCCAGTGGACGCATACTAATACAGCTGTTTTCATCGTAGGCACTTGAACAGGGTAGTGACAATTATGCAAAAGTGGTGGAGAAGTTACTTAGGCAGAAAACGTTACCAACTTATTGTTGAGGTAAATATAAACTTTATATTGTGCCAAGATTTTAGTTGTTCAACATTCTGTAAGATGTGTTTTGCCATGTAGTTTACAAATTACTCATGACAAGTAGCTGTACATGAACTGTTGGTGTTTGAAATGTCCCCCAGAAGTCTCATGTGCTTAAGGCTTGTGGTGGCACTAGTTTGGGAAATTCTGGAACCTTTAGGAGGTAGGGCCCTGATGTGAGGGTCCCCTCTGTATGTTGTGAATATCATTGGTTAACAAAGGAACTGCTTTGGGCCTATAGCAGAGCTATAGGGTAAGAAAGCCAGGTGGAGAAAATGAAACTGAATGCTGGGAGAAAGAAGCTGGAGTCAGAGAGAAGCCATGGAGCTCTACCAGAGATAGACACTGGAACTTTTCCTGGTAAGCCACAGCCTCGTGGTGATACACAGATGAATAGAAATGGATTTATACAGTTTCTGTGTGATTATTTCGAGGCTGAGCAGCAGGGAATCAACAAACAGTTCTCTCCTCCTACAGGGTCCAACTCAAGGAACGTCACTTGGGTATGACTTTGGGGGGCTGTCTTGTTCTAGTCCTCACCTCTATTCCTTCCTCCCTCCCTCTTTCTTCTCTCGACCTCTCCTCCCCACACTTTCTGACCTCATTCAGTGATTGGTTTTGTACCTCTCTACTTTGCAATTCTACCTGATCATAGCCCAGAAACAACGATGCCCACTGACTACTGGACAGAAATCGCAAAAACCATGGCCAAAGCAAGTCCTGCCTGTTAAGTGGGCTTCTTCTGGTTGCACCAATGCAGAGAGGATACACAAGCACAAATCTGAGCTTAATTTTGGAAAGGAGACTTTCCTGAGGAACTTATTTTTCCATAAGTTACAAACTTCATTATACATAAACTGCATTAGCTATTTCCATTTTAATACTTTTAACTATGTGCATTTAGGAGATTTATTTGTTGATGGATATCTAGACTTTCTAGTGTGTCATGGCAAGCAGGCATATAGCTTATTCTCAAATCTCCCCCATTTTCAATGAAAGTCTCCTCTGACAGGCATTTAGCAAACAGCTCACAAGGATGTTAACTTGGGAAGTGCAGACATGAGTTCCCTCTACACTCTCTCTAGTACTTTCTACAGAGTTGCTTTTTAGGTGAATGAGATTTCAAAAATCAGTAAATAAGGCTAATGAGATGACTCAGTAGACAAAGGCTATTGTCCCTATGGTGAAAGAGAGGGCTGATTCTTGCAACTGTGCTCTGCCCTCCCCATACCTGTCATCAAACACAGAGACACCTATGCAAACCAATAGGAAGGAAGGAAGGAAGGAAGGAAGGAAGGAAGGAAGGAAGGAAGGAAGGAAGGAAGGAAGGAAGGAAGGAAGGAAATAAATGCCATTTTCAAAAATTTTAAAGAAATTATTTTTAAATGAACAAATAATACTCCCAATATGACTTAATTGAATATTTACATATTTGTAAATACATCACTATATATTTGCAGTTCACTTTGCTAAGCAGCAAATGATCATTTAGTGTCTTAATGCTGGCTGGTATTTAACAAGTAAATGCTATTTGCCAGGCATTTAAAACTTGGCTTTTGTGATACCCATTTGGTAGGTTGTACATGCAAAGCAAAGACTTGCCTGTGTTTACTTGGAGCACTAGTTCACATACTTAACAATGTTAGCTTGTTGTAATTGTTTTATATGGTGTAACAATTCTGACCATTGCTAACATCCTGTGTCAAACTTCTGCCAAGACAATGTGTACCTCATTATTGTTGCATTCTCCCACCAAGATACTTAGCACACAGTATCTTATGAACCTTTCTGTGAATGGATAGACAGTGAAAACAAATTTTTTAAATGACATTACTGCTGTTAATAAACTGGATTCGACTGGTCATCAGTCTAATTACAGCATGTCTAACTTCTTTCATCATTTGATTCTAATGAATGCAATATTTGAAACATAAGCCTTTGAATTAGCCAAATGCCTGTTTCTGTTGCTGTTAAACACTTTAGATAGGAAACTTTGGAAGAATATTAACAAGTCCATAATTCCCTTGTGGGTTTCACCTGCCAGGCCAGAGATTTTTTTTTTATTTTTCAGATTGAATGCCAGGAATTTTGGTAATTACCTTTTGTTTTGTATACATCTGAATAGCCATTATTGTTGATTTTAAAGTGTACAGAGATGGAGTTCTGCTTCTATCTGAACTTAATTATGCTATTTGCATGGAGAATTTTATTTCACACTTGACCCCCTTTTGTTCGTCACAGTGGAAAAACTGTCAACATTCTATTAGTGTTTCTTTCAAACATGTTTCTTTTGATGTCTTTTAGTGCCGTATTTTAGACTCAACTTTGCTTTCTTCCTTTTCTTTTCAGTTTTTATATCTGCTTTCCTTTTTAAAATTCACTGTACTTTTATTGATAACCAAGGCTATTTAAAATGTATTTTTGAAGCAATGTTAGGTGTATAGAAAAGTTACAGATAAGTATAAAAGGCTCCATACAGTCGTCATCCAGTTTTCTGCTCTTAGAGAAAGGAGTTCATAGTATGACTTTTTTGTCTCTCAACCTTTTTGTTTTATCTTTATATACACATTGTTTTGTGTATGTGTTTTATGCATATCTGTATGTGTGTGGGGACATGTGTGTGCATGCATTTAGAGGCCAGAGGACAGCTTTGCATCATTTCTTATATGCCATTCACTTTTTCTTGAGACATGCATAGATAACAACTGTATATGGACAGTTAGTGCAGTCTCTGCAGGGCAAAGAAATGACCTTTAAACTTAGCTTTGGAGAAAACCGTGTGAGTGGAATTTCGGGGATCAGCTTGGAACTGGAAACAGTGAGAGCAGCACGGATGCTGATAACATGGCACAGGGAGAATGCAGAAAAGCAGAAAGTTGCTGAGGACTAGATGTGGCCTTCAGAATATACTTCTCTGCCTTTTTACAGAAAACATAAAACAATTTTGTGCGTACTCTTACTCCTAGTAACGTTTTGTGAAGTGAAATATACATATGATATCTTCCTTCACATTTTAGATGGTCCAAAATCATTCATACTTTGCCTCTTTCCTCCCTGTTGGCTTGAGTCTGGACCATACGTTGTGATCTGATGGGACATAGGTCACACCCCAACTGACACTTTAAAGAGGCTTTTTTTCTTGATTTCTGTCACAAGGCCTCACCAGTAGACTGCTGGCTTCTGCCCTAGGCCTGAGCTAAAAAAAGCCTTGGATAGTGGAGACAGAACTTTCACTCACATGAGAGAGAAACCATCTTTGTGAGCTCCTAACATAACTGCATTTTCGCCTCAGCAAAGCTGCATATTAGCTTCCCTGATGACCAAAGCAAGTTTCTTACATGGAGCATCCTGCACAGGATACTCAGACTTGAAGAACTGTGTTTGGAGGGTTGTTAGTTTATGCTAATGTTAGGGCATAGCCATGTGATGATCTATTAAGGCGTTGATGCTGCCTCAGCAGACAGTTGGGTCCATCATAATTAGTATTCAGCAGACATCCTTTAACTGAGCTGTTAGGCGGGAGACTAGATTAAGGTCACAGAGGCGAAGGTTTCCTAGTCATCACAATTAATGACAGCATCTTCCACCTCATGAAAAAGGTATCTAATCAGTAGAAGTGTTCAAGAGGCGGGTCTAGTTAAGAATGAGAATGAACAGTAGGGTGTGGTGGTGCCCACTTTTAATCCTTGCACTTGGGAGACAGAAGCAGATAGCAAGTCTCTGTGATTTCTCGACCAGCCAGGGCCATGTAAAGAGACCCTGTCTCAAAAAACAAAAAGCGACTTGGAATGAGCATCAGGAAACAGAGTGACCTAGTCTTGCTTGTAGCTGCCATCAAGAGAAAGACCAAATCCTGAGGCTTTTATAGGCTGTAGTTTCAAAGAGACAACTCCTCAAAAATATTACTACACCAAAATATTTCTTTCTAGGTTTTAAATAATTCTGTGACATTGAAATAGGCTATCAGTCCTATGATGTCACATGTTTTCCACTACAGTGACTTTCTTAGTCTCATGGGAACAGAGCCATTCCAGCTTCTGCTGTGCTTAAACAAATCCCAGCTTCCCAAGACTGTGAATGGGGTTTGTTTTCACCTACTTTTTCTGCAGCCTAGTGACTTGGTTTAGTTTCTGACAGTCTCTACACCTTGTGCATGTCCTGGACTCTAGTACCGTTGGCTCACAATGATGGGAACACTTTTGTACTACAGAGAGTTCTCTGATTCTTAGAACATTCTCTTTATAGTCGCCATGGTCTGGGACTTCACCCATGGTTAACTTCAGTTGGATACTTAGTCGTACTGATGTTCGGGACAGTACCTGCCTCCTCTTTGTCTTCCTTCTTTCTCTTTCTTTTTCTCCTTCTCCTTATTCTCCCCCTCATCTTCTTTCCCCATTGTGGAAAACACAATTTTATTATTTTCCATCCTTTGAAATTTTCACACTTACATAATGTGTCTTGATCAAATCCACTTTTCACCCACCTACTACAAGTCCCCCAGGACCCTCTCAACCATTATGAAAGAGGTTATTTCCATGATTTTTCAGTGTGTCTGTTTTTAGTTCATAGGAAAGCTGTGTTCACTAATTTTGTTTACTTGCACTCTGTGGAAAGTATTTATTAGCCCTAAGAGGTTTTGGGACCTCTTATGTATAGAATCCTATCTTCTGGAAATAGTGATACCCTAGCTTCTTTTTTTTCTGATATTTATTTATTTATTGATTGATTTATTGATTTTCATTTTCTTTTCTTGTCTTTTTCCTCTAGCTAAAACTTTAAGTACTCTATTGTATAGGAATGAAGACAGTAGACACTGTTATCTGGTGTATTTAAGTTTTTCTCCATTAACTATGACGTTGGATGTAGATTGTTATATATACCGACATATACTCCTTCCGTCTCTAGCCTCTACAAGACTTTTATCATGAAGAGATAGTAGATTTTTTTTCAAAGAAAATTTTTTTTCA